GTGTTTCTCCTGCTGTCTATCTCCAAATACACATATGAGAGGGTCATGTCTTAATTCAAGGGACACCTTGTCAATTATCATTCTCTTAACAATGTTCGAGCATCTTTCTGATGGCTGTCCTTTGTATGGAAGGAGAGCTGAGGCAGCAGCTTGAACTCTTCTTTTTTCTGGGATTTAACTTCTGACTCCACCACTGTTTTGCAACACCATTTCTCATGTTTCCATAGTTCATCTTTTATGGAGAACCCATAGCAAATGCATGGCAAATAATCTTCTGCATTTGCATGTTTTGATGGCTGTCTATAAGTTACTATCTCGCCCTCACCCTTCTGCAACACCTCAATGTTATGATAATAATTTCCCTTCCTACAAAGTTGCTCAAATGTTTGGTGACACAACTTTGATGTTGATAGAAGACACATTGCTAGGACCACTTCTGTTTCACTGCTGTGTTTCCGCCTCAGATGCAGTGCCATTTTACTTTGTGTTTTTTTTGCAGTATACACAGAAATGATGCTTGTCCCACTTTGTTTTTTGACCCTTGTGGCAGGTTTTCACTGTAACCACTGTCCTACCCTCATCCTCATTGTCGCTGCTGTCATCAAGATTCCCATCATTGCTGTTTGTATTGCAGGGGTCTTCGTCAGATGATGGGATATATTCACTTTCCAGGTCAGGAATGGATTCTGACAGAGAGTCATCTGTGGCACAGTCCTCCTGAAAGAACAAGCAGATTAGAATAGTAGTTATTCAAATAATGAACCTATAAAGTTTTGCAGTTGGGCTGCATTGCTGTAGCCCACAACAAAATAAAAAACAAATATATACATACCAATTCCTGTTATGCCTTCCTTTTTCTGTTCATCATCTGTAAAATTCAGAGTAAATTTGAAACATATTGACAATGTTACAGAAAAACTGTTACAAATAAAACATACATCAGCTTTATTTTCCTGCATAAAGTTGACATATCTTCAAAGACAATTTAAATTGCTTCGAGTTATTTCTTTAAATAGAGGCTCACAAGTTAAAGCTAACATTAGCTTAATAGCTTCACAAATACTAACGCTGAAGAATGAGCCAGAGGACAAAACCAGAATTTAGTTTCAAACCCAAACAACTAACTAGTTTCATAAATCTTACCTGTACAATTTGCAGTTTTTTTCATCTAATTCAGCTTTCACGGTTCTCTTCTCGTCGTATCTCTCAGCACACCGATTGTGGTGCTACCGCAGTCTCTGCAGTGTTGAGGCATGCATTTAATGCAGCATTAGTTGAAGGTGAGACTCAAGCTCCAGGTGTTATAAATATTGTTTGATTGTCACCCACTTCTAAGCTGCCCTTTTAGAGACACAGGCAGTTTTGCATGAATTCAGCTTAAGCAGTATTTAATCAGAGCATGATACTTTATTTTATTGCATTTTTGCATACATATGATAAAATAAATGTAGATAATGGCCAATCACAAAATTTCCCAGCCTTAGCCAATCACAAAATTGGATTGTGTCTCCTCCCTGTAAATCAAATTTTGACTGCACCACCGGATAGGGGGCAAAAGAGTACAAGCTGGCACACATTTTTCTGACTTTACTCTCTGTATGTGGGACTTTACTCTCTGTATGTGGACATCTTCTGAAAATTATACAGATCATTCTTTAGGATGAAAGGAGCGTATCCTAGCATTTTCCTTGCGTGGACCACCCAAAAGGTCCACACAAAAAGAAATGTCCACACAAGAAAGGTGTTCCGTCAGGGGTTGGTTCGCACAAGTATATAAAGACAAACCCACACACAGACACACACACACAACTTGCTAACCTTAACTCTTACCCTAACACTTAACCAAAGCTTTAATCTTACACCCCATTGTTTTCATAAAATTTGGCTATGTTGTGGGGGCCAGCCTCCGGTCCCCACAAAGATAGTAACTCATGGATTTTTGGCTGCACATGTACTGAAAAACAAGGCCACATACACCTACACACATGCACACACACACCTTAACTTAATCCCAAATACTCACTAGTAAGGTTCCAACATCTATTTGATAAAATGTATTTAAAAACAGTTGACAATGAGTTTAACTGTCAAATAGTTGGGTCTAACCTTGTAGTTGTGCAAGGCAGTGTTGGGTGAATGTCACAGAGACAATTAAAAACATAAAGAGGACAAAGAATTAAGACAGCAAAGTGGATGACTTAAATTTGGGAGCACTTAAACTGAAGAGAACATTGGGCCACATTCACCAGCCATTCTTAAGAATAAATTTGGTCGCAAAATACACTTTCAAAGTTTTCACCAAGAACTGGCATTCACTGTAACGTAAGAACAAAATCAATGCACACTCAAGAGCACACTGATGCACATTTGACTAAAATAACTGGTTTAGTTTTCTTCAGTTATATAATATTGTAATATTTAAGTCAGAATAACAGTTTTATCATTATTAACATCTCTTTGTTTTTCCCATTATGGTCTTGTAACCCAGGTTATTCTGGTGGTCTATGTACTTTTTTCTTTCTTGTTTTATTTTTTTTCCAGTAAACGTAACATTGTTTGCCAAGTGACAAGACAATCATATAGCAGCCCGCTGCACCAATGAGCCTAACCCCACAATCCGTGAAAAGAACGCTGAGTTAAAAAAGAAACAAGCTGACTTTGCAGTGTGGCAGGCGACAACTCCTTTTGCTTTAAACTAGTGGCAGCTCCTGCCATGGGACAGCCAGGAGCTGAAAACCCTGATTCATTCAGTCCCAAAACCCCAGCTTGTGACACTGAAGCACAGAGCCAGGAGCTAATGCAACCTATAGACAGCTATAATTCTGAGTCCCTCTTGCCTCAAGGTGTCATAGGCTCACGTGCAGCCTCAGTACTTATTGATGGCGTGCCATGTGAATCTATAATGGACTCAGGCTCACAAGTCACAACCCTTTCGGAGTCTTTTTGCAAACAGCACCTTTCCCACCTCCCTATGCCCTACTCAAAATTGGGGGGGCTGGAGGACATAATGTCCCATACTTGGGCTATGTTCAAACTAATATTACATTTCCTGAGAATATTGCAGGCAAAGAGCAGCAACTGGTTGTGTTAGCACTTGTAGTTCCTGATTGCCACTTTAACATTAAAATCCCACTGCTAATAGGGACTAATGTGCTTTTGCGGCTTTATGAGCAGTTGTTAAAACAAGATGGCCCAGACTTTATCCACAAGCTACATTCTAAGCAGTTGGCAATGATCCTTCAACATGTTACCCAAGCCCAAGGAGATGACACTCATTCCTGCCCTGTCATGCTGCACAGTAAAAAGCCAGTTACAATCCCTGCTAAACAAAAGCTTTGTCTAATGGGCAATGTGAGGTTGAGAACACACAACCAAAATGCAAGCTTTGTTCTTCAGCCCCCTTCTTGAACCAGTTTTGGTAGACATTCCCTTTAAAGCCAGTAACAAGGTACTTGTCATTGTACATGATGCGACCGAACATAGTGTTACGTTGCAGCCAAAAAGTATTGTCGCTTAGGTCTATGCAGCACAGTATGTTTCGCCTCTAACACCTGATCGGACCCCCTCAAGCCAAAACAATAAAGACAACAACAAACTGGCATTCAATCTGGATGAGTCACCCATTTCAGAGCAATGGAAAGAGCGCATTCAAAAGAAGTTGCAATCCATATCTGAAGTGTTTGCTCTTGATGACATGTCATATGGCCACACCACAACTATAAAATACCAAATAAGGTTACATGATGAGACGCCTTTCAAAAAACGGCCAAGGCATATACACCCAAGTGACAAAGAGGCAGTGAAACAGCACCTCAGAGAGCTGCTTGATGCAGGAATCATTTGAGAGTCTCAAAGCCCTTTTGCCTCACCGATTGTATTGGTGAGGCAAAAGAATGGCTCAATCAGGCTATGCATTGATTACCGCAAATTGAACATGAAAACTATACGCGATGCATACGCCCTCCCGAATATTGAAAAGACATTTATTGCTCTTAGTGAAGCTAAATGGTTTTCAGTCATGGACCTGAAGTCAGGGTACTATCAGGTAGAAGCAGCCAAAGAGGACAAGCCTAAGACAGCCTTTGTGTGTCCAATTGGCTCCTCTGAGTTTAATAGGATGCCACATGGCATCACAAACACCCCAAGCACCTTTCAACGCCTGATGGAGAGGTGTGTAGGCAATCTCCATCTCAACAAAGTACTTGTCTTTTTAGATGACTTAATTGTGTTCTCAGACACATTGGAAGAGCACGAAACCAGGCTAATGAAAGTGTTAACCCGACTAAGAGACTATGGTCTGAAATTGTCTCCAGAAAAATATCGCTTCTTTAGGAACTCTGTCAAGTATCTGGGGCATATTATGGATGCTTACGGAGTCCACACAGATCCTGACAAAATCTTGGCTCTCAAAAGCTGGCCACATCCATCTAACTTCAAAGAGATAAAATGTTTTTTAGGCTTCGCCGGATACTATAGGTGTTTTGTCAAAGGGTACTCTAAGATACCCAACCCATTAAATCACCTCACTGCAGGTTACAGTCCACTGAAGAAAAGAGGCAAGATCTGTAAGCGAGAGCAACCCAGGCTAGCTCACAGCTCAAACCAGCCTCTTGCAGACAAGTGGACTCCTGAGTGTGAAACAGCATTCTAGACATTTATCGAGAAGCTCACATCCGCACCCATTCTCGCCTTCGCCAACCCACAGTTACCATACATACTGCACACTGACGCTTGCCGTGATGGGTTGGGGGCTGCGCTCTATCAGGAGCAGGAGGGGAGGTTGAGAGCAGTTGCCTACACTAGTCGAGGGCTTTCCAAGAGTGAACAAAACTATCCCACACATAAGCTCGAATTCCTAGCCCTCAAGTGGGCTGTGTGTGAGAAGTTTAGTGACTACCTTTACGGTTCAAGTTTTACTGTCCTGACGGACAATAATCCATTAACATATGTTCTAACAACAGCCAAGTTGGATGCAGCAGGACACAGGTGGTTAGCTGCCTTGTCCACCTATCACTTTACCATAAAGTACAGAGCAGGACAAGCAAACAAAGATGCAGACGAGTTGTCTTGGTGACCTCAAGAGCCACCTGAGGAAGATGAGATGTTTGTCAAAGAAAAAGCTCGGATTGAAGATATGAAAAAATGCCTCACTGATGCGCAAGATGAACTAGATCATGGAACATTTTCTGCCTTGTGTTAGCGTCATTCTGTTTCACTTCAAGTAGAGCCTCATGGTCCAGAGCCCCTTGTTATGGCTGAAACCCTTGCTATCAGTCCCACAATAGTATCTGAGGCTTATGGTGAAGATATCATGCCATCAGTGACTAGTGCTGATTGGTGTACAGCGCAGAGAGCCGATCCAACTATCTCTCGTGTCATAACCCTGTTGGAAGGAGCCTTAAAGCCTAGTCTCAAAGGAAAAAATCTCGAATCCCCTGATGTCAAACTTTTATTAAAACAGTTTGAAAAACTTGTGCTCAATGATGCCGTGCTGTATAGGATGTTTAATGACAAAGATTCCCCAGTGTATCAGTTAGTATTGCCACAGCAGTATCGTGGAAGAGCTTTACAAGGTGTGCGTGACGAGGTTGGCCACCTTGGTTTTGAGCGCGCCCTACATCTAGCTCGAGCCAGGTTCTACTGGCCGGGTTTGGCCAAGTCTGTCAAAGACAAGTGCAAAAAATGCCCCCACTGTCTCAGGAGAAATTG